CAGTGCGCTGTGAGCGCTCAATCGAAATGGTCCCAATTCCGTATGAAGCACAGCTGTGGGACATTTTCTGGGATATCAACCTGCTTACACGACTCTCTTGCAGATGGCGCAGTGCGGCAGTTGGACATGCCTATCTTATAGAGCAGACAAACTTCTTGTGACTCGCGAATCGCACCAGTCCTTCCTTCTCATTGGATTTCAACGGTGGCCAACGGTGGCGGTAAGTTCGTTACATGGCCCTCGTCTACTTTCTGAAATTCAAAATATATAGTCGTTTTAGTAGCTGATATCTCACCCAAGCTTGAGCATGACACTAACGTATACCTCTATCAGGTCTATCTTCTGTTCATCTAAGCACTTGGTGCACAGACATAACTTACTCTCACCTGCTCTGTATTCCATCTTGGTTAGAACGCCTTCCAGCTTGGTGCTCCAAACTCGACCAGCTTGCTTCAGGCTGTAGAGCGACATTTTAAGCTTCAACACACATCCAGAACGGTCATCGTAGAGTTCTGACTATTGCAAGTAGATGTCTTCTTTCAGAATACCATTAAGGAATGTCGCCGAAGCATCAAGCTCGTACTCTGCAGCCACGATCATACGCATTGAACTATGCCGCACTACTGGAAAATACTCTCTTTGAAGTCAATACCATACCTATGGTCACATCCTTTTGCAACCAAGCGCGTTTTATAGCGCTTAACTTCTCCATATGGATTTTTCTGTAAAGTAAACAACCATTTGCAGCCTATGTTCCTATGACCATGTCATAGTTGTACCAGGTCCCATGTGTCATTACACATGCATCATACTCATCCTGCATTTTCGTTTTCCATTCATCTGCTTGTGGACTCGATTGTGCTCGCTGCACAGTTAAAGAAACTTCAACTTCAACTTGTTTGATATTACATTTGCTACGTTGTATTGTTTAGTTGGGCGTCTCTTCAAGCCCGTTCTGATTACTCTTCTTGGCTGTTCAGCTTCATTAACATCGGTGTCAGGTTGCTCCTCCGCTTGCTTAGAATGCTTATCCTGTATAACTTCATGATCAGCACTTATCGTTGCGCTAACGTTTTCAGTTGACTCAGGTACAGTATCCTCGGTACTCAGGTATTTGATGAAATAAACGCCCTGCTGATCGATCTTCAAGTCACCTGTGTTCTTGTCGAACAGTCGATATGCTTTTGACGACTCTGAGGATCCGATACTTTTTTCCTTTGTCCTTTTCTAGTGAAATCGCCGTAAATCCAAAAACTCTCCGGTGCTTGACAACTGACTTGAGCCCTATAAACGCCTCGAAGGGAGATCGGTTACTTAGGTATGCAGCACACGTGGCTGCCACCGCCCAGTAACTTTCGGTTAATGCTGCACTGTTAAACATTTCTTTTGCCATCTTAACCAGTCCAAAATTGTGGTCATCGCACCCCCATACTTATGTGTATGTGAGCTTTTAAATTCCTACAGGCAGCAAGAGCTTGTCGCGAAAATAAATTTTGTATGCCCACCCACGCTTTCACTTCCCATATATCCATATATGTACATATTTGAAGGAACAGGGAGCATTGAGAGAGCAAGGATGACATAGAGAATGTATGATTTCAATTCAAAGTCGACCATTAGACCAGCACATGAAGCGAAATGATTTGCGTTCCCATATTTTCGAAGCCCGAACCTAAAAGTAAGGAGCCCGAGAAATACGAAGTCTGCGAACTTAAGCAAAAAATTTGGTGGGAAAAGAACTGTGCGTTATATGGTTATACTACGTTCGAAATAGGTTCACTTCTGCAGCGCCATCTACGAAATCTAAACTAAACTAACTGCTGAGAATTCTAGCAGAGTTGTTTGTTGAATGTGTTGGAAACTGTTGTGGCTGCTGTATATACGTTTGTTAATCGGCCTAACATTTTGTTAATTTATTAACGTCTATTGACTTACCGGAATTTAATGAAGCTTTCAGCATATGATCTATATATTTCATTGTAAATTTGACACTTTTTCTTATACCCTGAAAATGTATGCAACAGGCAGAAAGAGGCGTGGCGGATTATTGATCAGATCGTCAAGCTGAATCGATATAGCCATGGCTATATCGTCTGTCCGTCCGTTTCAGAAGATATGAGAGGTATAGACCGTGTACTCGCGTTTTCCATACACAGTACAAGTTTATCATATTTTTTCCTTAACCGATCATCCGATTTCTTTTTCAACAAATAGTCGCTGCTGACAGCGCAGGTAGTAAGTCGAGCAGTCTGCTTCTGATTGCCTTGAATTTAATTGAGCAGTTATATAGATTAAATTTGTTTGGGTAAAAATGGAAGACATTCTTATACCCTGAAGCCATTGAAAATGGGAAAGTGATAATAAATAAAAAGGAGGCTTTTTTCAAAACCGGCTGATAAAATTTCCAAAATCAGTTAAACAATCATTTTTATTAATTTTTTGTAAAGTCTATACAATGATTTTGAACTTTCTATCTATTTATCTTATGGATACTGTAATGAAAAGCCACGCCTTATGTTTTGCCTATGTAAGAGAATAAGTTGTTTTCAGTTTGGCAATTTGAAAATAATTAAAATTTTGATTTACATTTAATAAATTAGATTATATGTATTAGCGAAGTTATTAAGTATAACATATATGTTACGAATCTGCTACGTGTTTATGTGGAAAATAAAATCACTTTATCTCAGCTAATAGCAATGTTTCCATTAGAATTTTTGTAAGTTATATACATTACCGGCATTTATGAAATATCATCTTAAAAAAACGCTTGGAAAGGTATACTTTGATTCCACCAGTTGATCGATTTTAGTTTACAGCTAGTTAGTTAATGAATTACTGTTATAATTTATAGTACTAGCTGTGCTTGTATGTGTATATATGTACATTTGAGTATATTGATGCCAAGTTAATGAGTAACTTTAATTTCTTATAATACAAATCTTACAAATATACTAAGCAAATATGCAAACTTAAAAAAAAATAATAGAAGCCTAAAGTATATGAGAGTACGTATGTGCAATTTGTCGTTTTGGATAGACGTTAATGGGAAGCAACTTGTTGCGTTACCTAAAGACGCTCGTAGTTAGAAACTCAAGAAAAGAAGAAATGTTCCCCTCGTACCTCTTGTTGTGTTGTAGATAAAATTTGTAATCGGTCATTTTACAAATGCGTTGCGCTCAGTATTTTGATACTCTCAGGCTAGTGGTGTAAGAGGTAGGGCAAATAAATACAAAAATTTATTAAAATTGCGTAGGAATTGGTTGAAATTTTCAGAATTAGTAATATTTTAAATAACTTTTATAATTTATTAGGTTATCATCGACTGGGCGTTACTGGTGACGCGGGTGGTATACCTATCATGCTTCCTGGCACATTACTGTGGCTTACATTTGTTCCAGATGAACTGACCGCTATACCCATGCTATGCTCAGTATCTTTTTTGGATGTAGTGGATGAATGTATTAAAGGATCACTTATAATATGATGTACAGCTAAATTCATAGTAGATGGTTGTGTCCCCTTTCCAATTCCCATTGTAGTCAATTGTGTTTGAGGATTTTGCGAAGACGGTGGGGCACTTGACGAAGCAATAATATTTACACCCGCTGGCTGCATTCGAAGATGTGTAGCAGAAGGACCTAAATGACCTACCGACGGTGGCGGTATGGGGCTCGGCTCCTTACTCCGCAGATGAGCCGCCGATTGGGCTGCGTACATACTTAGGGCTTTTTGACGTTCTTCTGCTTCATGGCGGAAAGCTGCTTCCATTATGGGATTGTATCGCAGAATAGGTGCATAGGGATCCCGATATGGATCAATGCCCCACGGGGTCGGTCCAGGTGGACCAAAATGTGTAAGTGGTCCACTGATACCCATTGAGGGTGGCATCATATTACGGGTAATATGTGATGTTGGTGGTGGTAATCCATGTCGACCCGATACTAAGAAGTTTGCATGGTGATGTGCTGCAGCCACTGCTGCATTAGGTTGGACAGACACTAACGTTGAAGGATGATATCGTGGATCTCCAACACTCACAGCTGCTGATGCACGCATAAGCAGATTGTCTTGCTCGTCTTTCGTTCGGGAATGCTCTTCTTTAATTCTTATTTCTGTATTCAGCTCACCAATAATACGGTGAGGTGACCGATCACGAGGTGTAGATGAAGATGAGGCAACTATTGCTTGTTTGTTGCTCTCGTTAATGCGTTGTTGCTGTAGCAAACGTTCTCGTTCAACTTCTCGACGTTCAATTTCACGTCGCTCGCGCTCTTTGCGTTCGCGTTCCCGTTCCCGTTCGCGTTCTTTTTCACGCTCCTGTTGTTCACGTTTTAGTTTGTCCTCTTTTTCTTTACGTTCACGCTCTTCACGCTCCCTTCTTTGACGATCGCGCTCGCGCTGTTCTCGCTCACGTATCTCCCGCTCTCGATCTCGTTCTTCGGCTTCACGGCGTGCATTCTCAATGAGATCTGACTTTATGGGCCAAACAGTAGGTCCAGCGGTAGCTGCAGGATGGTATGGCATTGAGCGTGATACTGAACTAGTTCTGAAATAATTTTTTAATTAAAAAGTTCAAATAAGTTTAATGCGAAATTCAAGGGACTCTTAAAACACTACCCATTAGTGAATGCTTCAAATAGTAAATGGTTCGAATCTTTTGAAAGTAAATAAAACTTAGAATTATCAAAAGTGTTTATATAACTGCTGAAATTTTACAAATGGGAAATTCTCTAGTGCCGAATGTTAAACAAATAAGAAAGCTATAGTCGAGACTCTTCGACTATGAGATGACATGAACCCATCGAGCAATTGATGTTTCAATAATTATTTGCACATGCATGTACACAGGCAGAAATCATGTTGGTTGAAGAGCTAGAAAGCTGAAATTCGGTATGTAGATCCGCGTCGACCACCCAAGCTATGGCAGATATATCTCCGCCCATTGGGGGCGCAACAAATCGGATAAAACTGTATCTCCCAAAGTGGTAAATCTAGAATGCTGAAATTTTGCAGGTGAGCTCATGTTTCGATTCTTTAAAGATTTTATATCTACGCCTACTAGGGACGTGGCGAATCGGAGCTGAAGATATTGTGATATTTATATATATGAAATTTGGTGTATATACGCAGGTTGACCTCCCAAGTCCAACGAGGTGTGATGGATTTTTCTCTACCCAAAGGGGGCGTGGCAAACCGCAAAAGTTTATATCTCCTAAAGTATAAGAGCTAGAAACTTCAGTTATCAGTAAACTTCTCTATCGATTCTGTAAATAATATTGTTACGCCTCTCTAGGGGCGTGTCATATCAAAAAACACCCTGTAGTTTTTTCAAGCATCCAAATTTTGCAGTTAGGTTATTGTTAGCTTGTTCGATGAGCTGGCCAAAAATGAGGATTCTACGGTCACAAGGGGCGTGGCAATCGGCATTTATAGTGCCCAAATTGCGACATTTATATGCGTGAGCCATCTATTTATGTTTTTTTACATATAAATAAGTTTAATAAATATTCATAATGCGGAAAAAACCCTTTTAATGAAATTTAAAAAAATATAACAGAAGCTGAAATAACGAAAATTTGCATTTTACAAAAAAGAGTTTTCCACGGGATTTGGAGTCGCACCCAAGCCAAGTAGCATGTTTGTCAAAATATCTAAAATAATCCCGCCGGT